AGAAAGTATAGAAATGATTTCTCATGTTGTTGATTCTGTTTATAGTGATGTCCTACAGCAATTCGGAACTGACAAAGAACTTTATTATGATATAAAAGATACAAACAAAGTCTTCCCTAAAAAAGTGGCTGGTTTAATTATTGATGGAATTTCAAATTTTCTATTAGATGCAGATGCAGTTAGTTCAAAAAGTCCAAATGCTGCTAACTTTGGAGAGCTAGACATTAATAGAATTGTTCAAAAGGCACAAAAACACTCTGATAATATGGTCCCTGACTTAGACAAAGAAGAATCAGATCAAGATTTATCTGAAGAGGAATTTTCAGTTGAAATAGTTCCACATATTGGGAAAAAACCGATTAAAATAAATCCAAGGATTATTTCAGAACACTTAGCAGTCATTTCTGTAAAAACTCATCCTCTTGAGAAACTTAAGGTGGAGTGTTTAAAAAGAACTGGACATAGCATAGCAGAACTGAGAAAAGCGTCAATAAGTGGTAAAAATTATTCTTCCTCGGACTCATATAATGTAGGACAGAGAAAGAAAGAAAGACGTACCTCATTGGATAAGTCTGGACGGCTGGATGTAAAACCCTTAGAGGTAAGTGCAAAGATAATGGCAGAAAAATGAATGAAGAGTGAGACATGGTTGTTCTGTGATTTCTTTCCTAAAATAGGTATATGAGAATGCATTTTGTTGTTGTTGCCCAGCCCAGTACGAGAATTGGTTGTACCAGTTCATCCACCTAATCATGTGATTTACTGGGACTTACCACATCAGTTCTGTGGCTCACTCTAAAAGTCTCAGGCTAGTTTTCCCAAGACAACCCATTTGAACTCACATTTTTTTGAAGAATGGGAATATAAGAACATACCCTTAATAGTAAAACCAGACTGACTAAAGTTATAATTGTCATTTGAAAATTCAGAAGAAACAATTTTGTATAATTTCTTTAGTTATTCATTATGAATATCTAAAGGAGTTCAAAAGGGCCAGCTAATAGAGTATCAGGATATATAGAACTATCTAATATAGTTTTAATTCTCAAATTTAAGGCTCTACAGTAGTACTCTTTTTTGTTTTTAAAGCAACATTCATCAGCAAACATTAGACTACAAACTCTTAAATTGCACTTGTCCTTATTATTTCACTTTAATTATATTAGTCTTTCCCATTTGCCCTGTACTCTCAAGATGCATCCAGTTTCTTTCCTCTTCCCTTGTTTTGGACTTAGCTGCCCTAATGCTGCTTTTTTATGAACCTGTTTCCTCTTGCTGTACACCTAGCACTGCCCTGTAGCCACATATTTGGGCCCCAGATATATTAAACTAATTGGGAATTCAAAATGCCAATAAAACTATTAACACTACTGAGGACAAAAGATATGTTTGGGAAATAGATAGAGTTACATTGATCCATCAGACATTCTGATTTTTTATCAAAGCCCCTTGTACTGATGGTGTGCATTTATAAAGAGGGCTGAGTTTGCTTAAGGATGTAGTCTGTGGCCTGGACACTGAACAGAGTTTTATATTAATAGAACCATTTCCCCTGGACCATAAGCTCAGAATGAGTTTTTTCCAACACTGTTCTGCTGCCCGTTGAATTAAGTCTCCAGGTTGGCAAATATGTCAATTAACGCATTATGTTTTTAAACACAAATATTGAGACTATCATGGTCTGGGACTCCTTTATTCACCTTTACCCTTAGTTTTTTGGAACTGATGATGGTCCCTTTCAGCTCCAAAATTTTTTCTTCCATCTGGGTTCTCATCATTATATTAGCAATACTTGGTAGTTTCCATTCATATATAAGTAATCCCTTGGGAGTAATATTTCTGTAAACGGACTATAGAATAACATTATCCAAAATCAGTTTTTAACTATCTAGGTAATTGTCTATCAAAAATCTTACCCCTAGTTACCAGCTTTCTTTACTTGAGTCATTTATATACCACAGAAAGCAGTAAGAGAATATTTAAACCGAAACAAATACCTTTGTCCTCTTAAGGGAAGGAAAAGCCATCCCAAAAATAAAACAATAAAGAAGCAGACATAGGGAACTCAGTTAAGGCATATGATTTGCACCAATCTGTGTACTAATGTTGCCTATTTTCAGCAAAGGGACAGAGAAGAGACAGAAAAACAGATTAGGTCAGACATTCTAGACTCCTGTTGGCTGTACCTCAAGGCTCAATTCTCTGTTTTGAGGTACCATATATTCTTAGCACCCTAGACATGTGCATGTTGAAACCACATGCAGTAACAAAACC